CCTATCGCACAATCGAGCCCCCAAATTTATGACAGTTTGTGACTTGACGATGATTCCTACGCCATTAACATAAAAACATGGCCGCCTCTTGTTTTATTGACCATTTCTATTACACGATGTAAACATAATCTACTTACGTCACCTCAGAGCAATAAATACTAACTTCAAGATTTCAATAACCACTCACCATTGGCCAACATAAACAGTAGCCATTACAATGTTGATCAACATGAAAAGTGGCCATTACAAGGGTTCCAGAAAAAAAAACACAAAAACCCCCCCCAAAAAAACCACAAAAAGCCCCAGAAAGTAAATAAAGCATAGTTTCCATGAAGCAGATCAAATCTGTCGATGTAATACAGAATCGTTTCTGTCAAATAGAGCAATACATACTGTTGGTTTCAGGCCATTTTCCATGAAGTAGCAAGTGGGGACAAAAACCCTGTCTATTAGCTCAGTAGTCTGTAAAATATGTCTTACCAATCCAGGGGCCTGATAGAAATTAAGGGTATGAAGTCCCAGCCATGCAGTGAGGTAGATCACGGAGTCCCTCTCCTGGAGTGGGAACATGTTATCAGCTAGAGTCAGTTTAATGACACAGACTCCGAAAATAAATGTAATGAAATGAAGCTATGACGTAGTCATTTATCCCAAGGGCGAACAAAAGCCTTTAGTTCGGCAGTAAAATTGTCTCTTTAATACCTGATATTAATTCCCCTTGTTTGATATATGGCATCTCTATTCCATTTAAAAAAAAAGAAAAGATATTTCATTAAAAGCACCATAATTTACGAGATTCTGTATGTTCTGGATTTTAATGAAACAAAACTATGGTAACCAGGAACACGACACCGCCCCAAAGTAAACAAACAAGGACACGCCCCCCCTCTCCCCCCCCCCCCACACACGCGCCCATCCACACACCCACCCACACAGGACACGGGACTGTCATTTTCCCACGAAAGCCGCGTCAATAATTACAAGCTACGAATCCAATAACACGACAAGCTGTCCACATAAATCGGGTCGCCCACATGGCCTCCTTGGTACCAGAGGCGCATGTCATTTGGGGGGGGGGGGAGGGCGAGGCGGCCACATGCCCCGGGCGCCACTCTGAAGGGCGCAGGATGGCGCGGGCGCAAGATGGCGCGGGCGCAGGATGGCGACAGGAGGCACGCCAGAACATTTCCAGACATCACATTCAGGTGGGGCCCCCCCGTGTTGGGAGAGGAGCACCAGGTCGGAGCTGGCCGGTGGTGTCGTATAGGCCTTAGATACGCCCCGGTGTGGGTCTTGGACCAGGCCGTGTCACGTGACAGACCCCGTGCATGAAGCACGTCAACAACCAAAGTCCCCACGATATTGTTTTCCTTTAGCAGTCGGATCAGGATGGAATCCTGAAAAATTGACTGGAGGCAGGAGCACAGGGGTCCTCAAACATTTTAAACAAGGTGGCGGGTCATGGTCCACAGTCACTGCCAGACTATAGTTTGAGGGGGGGGGGGAAGAATTCTATGCACACTGCACATAACTCAATTCTGTGTAAAAAGCACAATCACAGTTCTATGCACACGGCACATATCTTATTTGTGTTGATAAAAAAATTATTTAAAATGTAGAGAAAAAAAATTTCTCCAACATAAACTTAACAGTACTTTAAAGGGGAGTGAAGCCCTGCTTTTAGCTAATGAGATAATCAATGTCATGTTTGTCGCTGCTAGCCAGGTACCTTTACGGCGACCAGGCGGGCCGGATAAAGCTACCCTGGGGGGGGGGGGAGGGGGGAGGAGGCGAATATGGACCGCGGGATTTGGTTTGAGGACCTTGTAGTAGAGGATCATTGGGGAAAAAAAGGAGCGGGGGGGGGGGCGGCAATGACAAGGTGTCTCAATCTTTCAAACGTCAAAAACAATTCACATTGGTGGATACTAAAGGTCAGAGGGAAAAAAATACAAACGTAAATTTAGAACACCATAATTGCGAGTAAACACAACAATTACCAG